CGCACACGCACTGCGAAACATACACACACAAAAATTACAGTATTATACATATTGGATTTAGCCATAAATACACAAATTCACAATCTTTCAACAACCTAAGTGGCTGTTTTATATGATCCATTAACAGATCCCAGGTCTAATAATATTTCATTATGATGTTTCAACAGACTGTTAATTAATCGCTTCAATCTTTATTACAATTAATTGATAGAACAAAGTTCTGAAAAAATAAATAAAACCATCTTACAATTAAAGGAACACTCTAATTAGTTTTTTGTATGACCTATTCTTTTATCAGTCCACATCACTGGCCTCACCCCTTCACAAACAAACAAACAAAATATAAAAACAAACACTTTTTTGAAAACGCAATTAAACTTAATTTTAATCCAGGTCCAGGATAGATTTCTCACTAAAACCCAATTCTCCCACTGTGCCACTGTCAAGACTGATGATATGTGTCCAACCAAATCCTTCTCTTAGGGAAGCATTGAGGACATGTACCACCTACGCGACAATAGGTTCAATTTATAAATCTATTGCTTATCTCTGAGACCCAGTGGCTGGTGCCAATATACTTGGCATGCTGACATCAGATATAAAGTAGATTCAGTTTTTTAATCTATTGTAATCCAAAGCCCCTAGTGGATTTTTGAATGACAGTCGCAAGAAGCATCGAGATCGTATATCGTAAATAGTGCCATTTCTCTAAAACGGCACCATTGTCATCTGCTGGCAACTTTTACTCCACAAATTTTTAATTATCACTTTAATTAACACAAATTGACACAACTCTTGTATTTTTGATGTTCAGCAACTTCATTGATTCATTTGGATGAAATTCATATTACATTTGCCATAGTAGTCATATCAGTTGTCAAAGAATAATGCTAAAGAGTCTTAAAGGGACACAAAAGCGTTAGAAATACAAGCATGTATCCCTAACGCTATCGCTTTTATATAATTGCACTAATTCCATCCCCACCCGCTGTGTGAGGGCTCAAAATTTAGTTTTACTTACCCGCCAGCCCTCTCTGCGCTGGTCTCTGTCCTGTTGGCATGCCTCCTCGGTCGAGATCACCGAGATTAATGATCTCAGCCAATCTGATGCCTTTCAATACGAAAGCACTGCAAGACTAGTGCGCAAAAGTGGCAAAACACATAATGTCAGATGATTGCTGTTTTGTGGAAGTGTCTCAGAGTGACAATCACTATAGGCAGTGGTGGGATTCAGCCAGTTCGCACTGGTTTATGCAAACTTGTCTCTAAAATTTAACAAGTTCACTGAAATTGGCTTTACCACTCATTAGGGGGCACCACTTGCCTTACTCCCCACACACTGTCAACCCACCACACTCCGTAACCCCTACACACTATCACTCTCCCACACACTATCACCCCCACACACACTGTTACCTCTCATATACACTGTCACCATCCCCAAACACTGTCAGCCCCACCACACTGTCATCCCAACACACTATCACCCTCTGAAACACTGTCACCCTACACATACTATCACTCCCACACACAATCAACACACACACTGCCACTATACCCACACACACACCGTCAACCTTCCACAATCACACCATCCCACACACTATCGCCCCCACACACAATCATCCCACACACTACCAATATCCCCACACACACACACTGTCAACCTTCCACAAACACACTGTCACCATCCCACACACTATCATCCCCACACACAATCATCCCACAGACTGCCACTATCCCCACACACTGTCAGCCTTCCACAAACACACTGTCACCCTCCCACACAAATAGTCACCTTCACATACATACACACACACACACACACACCCTGTCACCCTCCCACCGGGAGATGGCATTGCAGGGAGATGGTGCAGAGAGACTTGTGGCAGAGAGATGCTATGGCAGAGAGATGGCACAAAGAGGCTAGTGACATAGAGATTGCACTGGCAGGCCTTTTGGAGGCACATATGGCTCATTGGCATGAAATACACATTTTATGAATTTATTGCTCTTTGGCATGAAATACAGGGTTTATACATTTACTTTTCTTTGGCATGATATACTAAGTTTTCTGGCATGATATACAAGATTTATGCATTAACTGCTCATTGACATATATCAAGTTTTTTGAATTTACTGTTTATTGGCATGATATGCCAAGTTTATATATTTACTTTTCATTGGCAAGATATAACAAGTTTATGTATTTACTGCTCATTGGCATGATATATTATATGTATATATGTGAGTTTGTGTATGTCTGTGAGTGTGTGTGTCTTTGAGTGTGTATGTCTGTGAGTGTGTGTGTGTGTCTGTGAGTGTGTCTGTAAGTGTATGTGAGTATTTGTGAGGGTGCATTAGTAGGTGTGTGTGTTAATCATTGTGTGTAAATGTGCCTACGTGTAACTCTGTAGATGTGCTTGTGTGCACGTGAATGTAGCCCATGGATCAGCGCAGCTAAGAGGAATAGGCCTTGACAGAGCCAGGAGGTAGGCATAGCAGCCACAGGAATTTAGTGACAGCTAGCATGCTGGGTAGGGCGGAGCCATAAGGGGAGTATTTATACCAGCCATTATGTGAAGTGGCCATTTTAACTGAACCTAAGCTTACCTGTCAGTTGTCCCTCCCACCCTCCCTGTATTTGGTTAGGTTAGTTGATTTCCCGTTTTTTCACAGCGGCGGGGAATGGCCTGGTTAAATCGGAGGGTAGATGGAGGAGAAAGTGGGCATCCTGAGGTTTAGTGTGGATTGGGCAGTGTTGCACGTGGTTGGTAGGTTCGAGCCCGTCGGTGGCTCCGAACCTGGGGGTGTGGTGGTGTCTTGGTACACCCTACACTGGAACTGGTGGGTAGCGGTGTCTTGGTACACCCCTACAATGGATATGGTGGGTAGCGGTGTCTTGGTACACCCCTACAATGGATATGGTGGGTAGCGGTGTCTCGGTACACCCCTACAATTTAACCTGGTGGAAATGTGGTCAAATTGGACGGCCAGTTTCTGTGTTAACATGTTATTTATATTGTTATCTATTGTTATTATTGTGGGGTCATTGCTAGGGGTATGTTATGTATATGGGGAGGTTAACATTATTAAGATTTGTTGGCAATGACCCCATTTGTTATTCCTTAATTATTTATTAATAATTTAATAAAGCTGTGGACAAATTATTTCCAACAGTATAACCTGTGTCCGTGTTTTAATGGGGGTTGGGGTAAGGTTAGCGCATATGCCGGCAAATCCGACTGTGCACCTGTCATGACTGTGGGGGAGGCAGCATTTGAGTCTTGTACCTAGGCAGCAAAATGTCTTCAGCCTGCCCTGCGTGGAGTCGGAAATATCTTTTCAGAACTGGCTACTAAAATGTTTAAATCCCACTACTGACTATAGGCATTTAAACCCTGCATTGTAAACATTGCCATTTCTGCCTAATGACAATGATTCAGTTACAGGGTTAAATCTAGAGAGACACGTTACCCAGACCACCTAATTGAAATTGAGTGGTGTCAGAGCTTAGAGAATCCCTTTAAGTGTTTTAATTACAATTTTTCCGAGGTCACATGACTTTAGGGCATGATCCAGTTACTTGTTGCAGATCCCTTTTCTTTCTCCTGGGAATCCGGCCATTGAGTGCGGCTGTACCCTGTAAGGCACTAAATGTTGGGTTCTTCGCTTCTTTGAGACTTGGAGATTTCCACTGTGTTACCCTTTTGTTATACCACTTACAGGGCTATTCTCACCAATTTAAATTAAATTGTGAAATTTCAGGAATTAAAAGGGAATTCAAAGTGAACTTTATTTTTTTTTCAAAGTGAACTTTAGATTCACAAAGTAGCCAAACTGGAAACAATTCTCCAAGTCCATTATGCTTCCAATTCAGCTTTTTTGGCCTGAAGCGTGAAATTGACGGTGCATTCTCGACAATTCCTACTTTAGTGAATAAACTTGTAATTTCATTTGTAAAAGCATATAGTAAACGTAAAAAGGAGTCAATTCATTCTACATACCTGAATTTTGAAGATCTGTTAAATCACTCAAAGTGACACACTGCTCACCATAACAACTTCATATCAATGAAGTTGTTACGGTGCCAGAAGGCCCCCCGGAGCACACTCTTAGGTTAAGGGATACTCGAATGGTTTAACCCCAAAAGTTGCCTCCAGCGCCAATCTCCAGGTCCCCCATATGGCATCTGGCTTCTGAATCTGAGTTACAGGAAACCCAGATTGCCGCTGGACCGAACGCCGCTGATTGGCTAGAGCGGTCCGATGCACTGTTGTTTGAGAGTCTTTCTAGTGATTTGCTCTAAATGTTTTTAAAGTTTTTTTTTCTTTGCTCAAAGAACCACACTTAGCATTTTGGCCAGTTTTGATTGACAGGACTGTAAAAGGGATGTGAGTAAAGATTTATAGACAACAGAAGAGGGAGGAGGGTGGTTTAAAGGGTATCTTGTTATCCAGGTGTCTTGTAATATCCACACCTAACTTTAATATACTGTGTGTGTCACTCGGGATCCCTCCCCTATCGGTCGCATGTCACTTGTACCTACTCACAGCTGAATATAGAACACATTCATTTACATGCAACCACATATAGAATATACTAAAGGAAGAACTACATCTGCATTGCTTAGTGTGTAAGTGATACCAGAAAGAGAGAGAGAGAGAGAGTGTGTGTGTGTGTGTGTGTGTGTGTGTACGCAATCAGGGTTGCTTGCTAAAGTGAAAATCATCAGTAATTTAAAGAGAATTAAAAATGTAAGGCCAAAGTAGCTGAGTTGGAACCGTACATGTCTTCGAGAATTTTTCAATTTTGGCTATTTTCCCCTTAGATTTTAAATTCCTTTAAAATCCCTATATTTCTCACTTTAGTGTACTGAATAACCTCGTACGTATATACATTGAAAGAGGAACACGGCTCATGTCACAAAACTACATAAATAGATAATATATGTGTTTTTGAGTGGCACACAAAGAAATGAATTATGGCACGGTGTATATGCAGTCATTTTATATCAGAGAGTCAACTATTAAACACTTTTCTCAGGTACTGGTTTATCCAATAAAATTCATTTTATTTGGCATTCACACCGACATCCTTCACACCCTCCCCTTCAAACGTTTTTCATTTCTCGACCCCAATGCAAACAGAACAAAAAATATTACAAAAATAAGTTAAAAATTCTTGCACAAACTCTCTCCATTATAAACTTGAATTGAAGAGCTGATTAATTTCCTACCCCGAAACATCAGAACCCCTTCAATTCTTCAATAAAGAGATCCCATGCCATCTTCAAATATAACATCGGCTGCATCAAAGTTAGGCATAGCCTCGGGAATAAGCTGACAGAATAGACGGGAGGAAACAGTCCGACTACTATGGGTGGGTTCCCAATTTATGTTAGCTTGTTTCCAAGGGATACTTTTTATAGCTAATAGACGATTTTTGTAAAAACAGAGTCAATTTCAAAGGGCTGTGCTTAAATGGGCAATATGACATCATACCTCTTGAGTGGAACATTATATACAGTTTGGGTATGAAAAAATAGTTATGAAGGCACAAACATGATTGCACACAATCCTGGCTGTTTATCAATTTAAACAACAATTGTGAGTCAAATGTAAAACTCCACATATTTAGTTACCTATCTATATAGATAGATTTATCCATAGATAAGACACTCCCAGAAAAATATCTGGTGTTATATGTTCATAACAAAGATGTCCCACATTTGCCCGTGTATTGCCTTGATAAACAAATTTCAAGCTATTTTTTTTTTTTATTAGCAATCAAATAGATCAAATATGGTTTTCATTGTCCGTAGTATTCTACCATCAAAGGAGAACTGGTTGTGGAGTTGGCCTTGCAAATGTCTTGTCAACTGTCCACCAATATAATTTAATGTTTTCCAAATGAACATGCACCATTTACTTTAATTTATGGTGGACAAATAAGATGTCTCATATGTCAAATTGTGTGCTTCCATGTCAGTTGTCCACTTAAAACCCAACATCTCAAGAGTCATATTATTGCTTTGCAGTGGATCCTAGGCATTTATAGATATTTAAACGACATTAATTCAGTCCATAGAGACCCTTTATAAATAGTGAAGTGACCCTTTCAAGACAGTTCTCATTTGAGTTTCCTCAAAGTCTTAGTTAGTACACCGGGTTGGGTGGTGGCGGATGCAAGGGTTCGGAAGGCTGAAGGTGAGATCCAGGTTGGTTCTGTTGTGTGAACCATGGATTATAGTTCTCCATATAACTGGGGGACGAGCAGTGAGGAAGGTTTTGCTGCTGAGGGGTTCGGCTTCTGCTATTCTCCCACATTGAGGGGGATGAAGGGGAATTGCATGCCATTGAGTCGCTGTTATTTGGACTGTGTTCCAAACCAGGTCCCTCTCCATTCTTGTAAAGTTTCTTGAACTTTGATCTCCGGTTCTGGAACCAGATCTTCACCTGAGTGATGAGAAGAAATTAAGTGACATTATTAAACAGCTCATAAAAAAATAATATAGATCTCACAGAGAATCATTTTACTTTAATAACCAGAAAGTGTGATAAAATTGTAGAACGTATAAACCCGTTAATCATTTTACTAATTTCGACATGTTAAGGATATTTATCTAAACACATATAGAAGTAGACAGCTAGACTGCGTTTATATCTGTATATGTGTGTGTGTTATTGAAATAAATACTGCCACTGAAAAAATGCTCCAGAGGCAGTAACAGTGTATTAATCCTTGTTGTAAAGAGATACAAACACTTTACAGGGGGTGATAAAAGACCGACAAAAATAAAATAATGAATATGTGAAAAGTGGGCTTATGTATGTGTTTTCAAATTTCCTAATAGAAATGGCATAGAGATGTTTTTCCTCATGCTCTCATGATCCGTGGGTGGGTTATGTGCCGCAGGATTTTTTTTCTTTTTTCTTTTTTTGAGGGGGTGAACTTACAGGCACACTAAGCAATATATCCACTAGAGCTCTATTAAACGCTGAACTATTTCAACTCTGTTGTCTGGAGACTATGAACAAAGATCCCTTTTTTAATGTCAAACCATTTAGAAGCAGTTTCTCTGTCCCAGCACCCGGATACTGCCCCTCTTTATCCACATTTATAACATTTCCATGTTATAAGTGTCAATTTATCTATCCTGCATGGGAATGATTGACTTAGAGCCCCGAGCTACTTATCGTTCAGAGTACAGAGTCCAGAGTTGCTAAGCAACGTAACCACAACACCTATAGTAGTTATGTTGCTTAGTGCCCCTTTGAGTTGCTCATTGAGAATTCCTTTCCTACAAGTGCATATATGATGAAAATAGAACTCTAGGTATAATGTTACTTAGTCTATAAGAAGGCATGTCCCACAACACATGTCGGAACCACTAGTTTCTTTTGGCTCTAGGACAGAATGACCCAATAAAAGATATCTCATATTAGCACCTTCTGGTGCTTATAAATGTTGATCCTTTAAACATGTTGAAACTTGTATCAATGAAATGACTGTATCCTTTAATATACAATTGTCATTTCAATTTGCCTTTAATATTGACTGACGTTCATAGTACGGATCCCTAAGACCAATTACCCAAAGTGTCCCCAGATCTGAAAGGAAGCGACTGCTTATTGCTGGAATCTTCAGAACTCCAGTTGTTAGAGGGATTGGCTCTTAAACAGGTTTACTGTAATTAGAACAATTTAGGTATAACGAATTCGGTCCCCCTGAGCGTGTCATTGATATATAAGTACCCTTCCTTTCAAGGAGATTGTGACCTATTAAATAAGTTACGGCCATTAGACAACCCCATTTGGTTTCAGTGTTGTGTTTATGGGAAGAGTTTTGCTTTCTCTGTAAACTATTCCTCCCCCCACACTCACTCTACACCTCTCTCCTAAATATTCTCCGCCCTGTGAGTCATCCCAAGCTCTTCTCCAAATGAACCAAACCCAGTTTCACAGCAACATGATGTTTTGTAAATGGGTAAGAGGAAGCCTTAGGATACCCCCTCCCTTATCATAAATACCCCACCCTGACATCCCACCCAGATCAGCTGGGTTTTACAGAGAACACACAGAGCATGGAGAGACCAGACTATTAGTTAAAGGACTGACTTCAACATCCAAACTCCTTTTTAAATTAAGACAATTTAATTTTTTTTTTGGCACCAATATCAACCTCACTACATGAATATATAAAAAAGAAAATTTTACTAAAAATTTACTCTATAAATAAGAAACATCTCCTTCCATACTATTATATTTCCATTTTTTATAGTAAGGATTTATATGATAAAATTAATATAATTTCGATAAACATAGATTTCACATATATATTTTTATTTTTAAACTCAATACTTTGATTAATGATCAATGTTGTAAAAAAGATTTTGTCTGGATTGGACTGACTTTCAAGACTGTGCCTAGGAGAATAAAACAAATTCGGATATTGCAGGTCCCTTCTTTGCTTTGCAATTACAAAACAGGCAATTTATATTTTGCATTTACAACCCATATCAACTAATGGGAATGCCAAAAATGCTGGTGAGACAGCTCAGTGGAATGGACTACAACTGCAGTATCTCAGAGACCTCACGGCCTTTGATACTTCCAAGTTAGATACAATGAGAACTATTGAGTTCTGTAATAATAACATCTGAATCCCAGAATGCACTTGGAAATCAGTGACAAACTAAATTCACATTTCCAGCTTAAATAATTTGATATTAAAATTCTTAAAAAGAGGTCAGATAATGTCAGTAACATAATATATAAACATTATTTTGCCTACTCTCCAAAATCTCTTTCTTTTTAAGTTTTTTTTCCTTCCTCACAGCGTGGGTAATGGCATCTATATTATATTTAAGTTTAACCTTTTGAGAGCTTTGCAAAGCAGCAGGTTTACCCATGCACTGTGATGGTTAAAACAAAGACCAGTCACTTGCAAACATTTCGGAAAAATCCTTTTACCGAAATTTGTTGGTATTCTAGAAAAAAATCTCATTCCACTAACCAGGAGTTTGTTTTATTTTCTTTACTGGCCAATATGAATCCCAAAAAATTGGTGATCCACAGACATCTTTTAAAAGTCACTGACTTCATTTAACCACAAGTATTGCCAAGCACTGAAGATTTGACATGATTTAATCCTGTCGTTCCTTTTCATTTGTTTGTTTATTCTGTGATGTTTGATTGAACCCAATAGGAGATTATTGACTGCAATCAATTATATTTTCTGTCTTCACTTATTGTCATAATATATTATTTAACATTTCTACTAGTACGGTGTTCTATGAATTCTGATGATTCCAAAACCTGTTTTATGAAAGTTCGATTTTTTGTATTCCCATTAAACATATAGCCTTAGTTATGGAGAACTCAAAAGTTGTGTTTTTAACTACATCTCCTATAATGCTTTAGGACACAGCGTCATAGGAGCTGCAGTTTGAAAACATCTGGAGATCTACCCTTTTGGGCACCGTAGTTATATAAAAAGATTACTTTAGGATGCTCACGTCAAATTAGAAATATAAGAATTTAATTAACAATGAAGCCATAACATGCTTACGTCAGCACTACGTCAGAGGGCTCCAGGTTTTATAGGCCCTAATTTTAATTTATACATTCAACTTGACCAAAGTACATGTTTCTTTTTATCGGAACTAACAAAAGATTCTCCTTCGTAGTATTTCTCTTTGGAGACATTAAGGTGGGTAACTCTGTAAGGGAATTTGGCAACACATCCGGTATATAAATAAAAAGTAAAAAGTAAGTGCATCTTATCTTCTGAGATATTGCTATTTCTCTTAAAATATAAATGATATTACTTTTATCAACTATTATTTTTGTTTGTAAGTGTTTGATGCGAAATGTCAGTAAGGAAATGAGAATTAGGGGGGGGAAATTGAGTTCTTTCATTTGTGAGCTTTAATTGGTGAGCTTTTGGAACATGGGTAGTTTGGGGAGGTCAGAAGATCTTCTGAAATCCACCCACAATAGTAAAGTAGACAAAAGACAGGTATATGAGTTTCTGCCAACATAGGCCTCCAGGCCACAGTCCCGATACCATTCTGTTGTCATCTAAGGAGATTGAGTGCCAACTTCCAAGACATTAGGATGTTTCCTGGAATTTTGTGCCAGCTTGCGGGCATTGAAGGAGCAAATTAGAGGTCTGTACTGCCAGAGACAGTAGACCACCAGGAATGAAGCATCTCTTCAATGCCAACTAGGTGGGCAAATGGGGAAAGTGGAGCTCAGAAATGTTATTTTTTTTTACAGATTGGGTGCCACGGAAAGGGAGAGAGGACTGATAGAGAAGGTTCTCTTCTTTTCATTCCCTATGGATTTTATAAAGAAGGTTATCTGGGGTTACAGGATAAGTTATAGGGAGGGGTTAGAGGATGGCATTGAATCAAGGTAAAGGAGGAAAATTACTTTTTGATGCAATATAAGTCTGATATGTGCAACACACTTCAGGTATCACAACAGTTATGTAACATTGAATTTCCATATCTCCATGACTGTTGGCAAGATTTTAACATCCCTCTATATATTATTCCTTACTGCGATTCTCCCAATAATTGATATGTATACCTTTCCATTTTATTACATTCTTCCCACTTCACCTTTTTATTTTTATAACTAAAAACCTAATTTCTCACCCATCAAGGTTTTAGTTTGTGCATTTCTCGTTCTTGGGTATCTATCCATTATTTAATCTCTCCCACTCTCCTGTATTTTATACAATATATTATATCTTTGATCACGCCATTATTTCACTGATATCTCTTGCTTTTTTTGTTTCTTACCGTCTGGGTTTTATCTCTTTCCACGTCTGGACACAATATCTCTTACCGTTTTATTGTAAACCCAATCTGCTCCCATTATTACACAACCACAATCCAGGCTGGCATGATAGGTTTCCTTTTAGATTTAACTCAATCTCCAAATTGATGGACCTTTTTGCGGGTCAGTCAGCTTTCCATGTTAGCTTTTATGCTTCTATTTAGTTAAATACAATTGCACAGATTCAGTTATTGTTCTGTTGCCGTACCTGTGTCTGTGTAAGCCCCAGTTGGGCAGCCAATTCTGCTCTCTCTGGCAAAGCCAAATACTGGGCCTTCTGAAATCGCCTCTGCAGAGCCGCTAGCTGATAGCTGGAGTAGATCGTTCTGGGTTTCCGGACCTTTTTAGGTTTTCCATTGACCATTCGTATCTCCGTTTCTGGCTCTTCTTTTACTGATACTAGAAAACAATGGATAGCATTGGTGTTATTAAAGTACTGAAATCAATATCCATTCATCTCTTCCTAATCCTCATCAGTTTTATAGATGTTAAGTTGCATCTGCCCTGTTTCGATGCATGCTTGGTTGCTATGGTTGACGTCTAAATGTTTGATATTATATTTATTGATCAACCCATTGCAAATATTCAAAGCTCTTTTATGTCTCCTCAAAATTAAACAATTGTACACCTTCTTTATTACCCATTCTTAGCTTCGTTTCAGTCTTTAACAAACCTTCAAATAAAAACCCACTCTACAAGGCCAGCCTCACAATTTTTTTTCTCATTTCCGTCCTTGTCTCCTCTTTTGCTATGTTGCTCCTGTATCCTAAACTTGGTCTCTTAAATGTTTTTGTACCCCAAGCTTTTGAGGTTCAATTAAATGTGATCAGTTCAACTCAACGTACCTTTTCACACCACCAGTTTGTTATGCACAATTGCCTTAACTGTAATTAGATTCTAAGTAGTAATAAAGTATCAAACGTGGGATTCATCTGCTTATCTGACTTGTTTGTGTTTTTTAACATCTGAGCTACCTTGTGTAATTTTTAAAATTTTATTTTGGGGCTGTTATTAATCTGTCTAAACTAAGGCAATATTAAATTAGCTGATATCAAGCAATTTTGCCGTGGTATCTCACTAAGTCCAAAAAGGTCACATAAGGACAAAATCTGAAGTCTTCCCCAAATAACATGCAAAATAAATTATTTATATCGTGTGTCACTTGGCACGTGGTGAGCATTATTTTGAAATTCTTTATTGTTTACACTGGAAGGCATAGATATAAATATAGGTGTATTGCGTTTAACATCCCAGTTGTAATTCTTTCAAAAACGTCATTGAACTCTTTGAATTTTTTCTGCTTCTGGAACAGTTTGTACAATGATCAATGAGGACAATTGTCACGTGAGTAGGTTAAGAATCGATATGGCTTGGACTCCTCACTAATCAAAATGTGTAATTTAGACATAAGCAAGGTTATCCGATAAAATACGAATTGCCAATATTTTAAAGCGAACATTAAATGTTAAGCCAAAACCGCCAAATTTAAGCAAATCTCATCTGTGTTTGGTTATTATGGCCAAACTGTGTTCAAAGTGTTTATATTTATATATTATAATATTATATATAAATGCAGGGAGCATCCATCTTGTTTTTTTGTTTTCTTTTTAACAATTTAATTCCCTTGAGTGCTAATTCAGAGCAATTTAAACAACAATTGTATGTTTTATAATTTACATTTTATACTACCTTATAAGGCTTCTAATTTGTTCAACTTCTCCAATGTCCTGTTGTCTTGCTACCTTTTCATACCAAAAGCGTCCTTCCCTTTTTTCTCATTCAAAATTAGGTGTTCCTGGTTTATTTGAGAATTCCCCATCTACCTTCACCCATTCTAGTTTTAATGAGTTCCCAAATTTCCCTTATACAAACCCCTCCCTCAGGCTCTCTATGTTAATATTCTTTCGTTACTCTGGGGGAATTTAGAAAAGAAGGCTTAATCCATTTAGGTTACTCTGTGACCTTACGAGTCCTTTAAAATGCATATGGTACGTTTAGATGAAACCTTAGAAATTGGAGTACGCCTTACCCTTCTATTTACTACTGATCTCTTAAAACATCAGATAGGCCCTTAAAGTATTTGACTAATCCCGGGTTGGACAACTGGAGTTCCTTGAGCAAAACCTAGGTCACAATAGCTCTATAAGGACGGGCCTACTCCATTTGACTTATTGTATTATAAAACTGTTTACCTCAAAACACAATCAACTGAATCCCCTAAATATACCAAGAGTTCAAGGACAGGACAGACCTAATAATTAATGGAGAGCTTAAATGACATAGTGGGAATTACAAACATACGAGAGGACAACAGAAATCGTGTCGGGTTTAGACTTTGGTCAAGTGAATCTAGGTAATATGACATTAATGTGTATTTGTTAAATAATGGAGTTATTGTTAAAAGATACGGAGTTATTGTGAAAGTAAGAAGTAAGAAACTAGAATTGGCAATAAATAAATATACGATTCACTGGTCAAAACTAAGTTATAGACAGAGTTTAATGTCAGAATGACAGAAAGGTCCTGGTGGCCAGGCCACAGCAAATATAGGTAATGGATATAGTGTGGATTGTAAAATTACTTGACCTGGAATATAGGCAGAGTTTAACATAGGAAAGCCACTAAGCTGAAGGTAAATAAAGGTTATAGATACAGAGTATGAACTATAGACACATATGACCTGGTCACATAGGAAGACACAAGTATGAGTCAAGCAAAATGGTTCTTGGATATACGTACAGAGAGACATTGCTTCTCACGCACAAGGATATTGATGTATATATTTATTTTATGGCTAAACCATTTTTGTAAGGTTTAAAAAAAAAATAAAAAAATCTACTTGTAGATAGGGAAACTTGGGTAGAGAAGAAATGGCATGGTCTCCACTAATAAAGTTAGACAGAAGAGACGTAAAGGCTTATGGATATAAAAGACAGAAGAGTCACTGCAGGGGATAACAGGTTTGGGTTTCTGTTAGACATACATTGCCTTGGCTATAAGCACATACACAGATAACTATCAAACATAGGCTAAAACATAACAGGCACACAACGTGTGACCGAGAAAAAACAAACAGACAATGGGGGAGACAAACTGGGCATTGGGTTAAGTCTGACAGCCAATGAGCAAGACGATTAGCTTGGGTATAGGCAGAAAGTTAGAAAACACATAAATCAGACCTTGTATAGAGATGGACAGTCACAGACCAGTAAGACAGTAGGATCAAGCATGGCCTATAGACAGACAATGGGCAAGCAAATGTGGGCTTTATTAGACAACCATAGAGCAGAAAGATAATTTGAGGAGATATATTAGTATTATTATTATTTTATTATTTATATAGCGCCATCACATTCTGTAGTGCTGTACAATGGGAAACAGTTTGGGGGGCGTGGAGTTCGATAAATCAGGAAAATGTGAAGAACTGACTAGGTAATTGTACATTCTGGCCTAAATAGCTAAGCAGAAAAAATATCAAAGCCGGAGCATTTTTCCCGGTTGGTACAAAATGTGAAATTCACGTATAATAATGATAATGATAATCAATTTCCCTATTTCCTCATTTGGTAGTTAGCCGGACATGATTACGTATATAGGTAATCAAATGTAATTAACTAGAAACAAGTAATATATATAGGGATACAGGAATACACTGCAGAGCAGAACGATAAGGTCAAGGCTAAGACAGACAATAAAAACGTGGACTGATAATGTTTGGGATATAGGCAGACCGACCCAAACCAGAGATATGGCCTGATGCATGGACAGTCAGTTGCAAAGCACAGACAAGGCTTGACCCATACATAAACAGTCATGGAGCAGTCACATAATACCTGGAATTTAGACAGTCACATTGCGCTTGAATAAAGTCTGGGGTATAGACAGTCACACATCAGTCGGATAAAGTCTACTATATAAACTGTCAGATCATTAAAAAAACGAAGAGAAAGACATAAAGTGAAGCAATGCTTTGATACAATTGACAATAAAAAGACATTGTTATACACAGCACCTGACAGACAACAACAATACAATACACTCAGTTCATAAACCTGAAACTAAGCACAGACAACAGCCATCATATATTCAGCTAGATACACATCCTGGATACAAACTGACACAATCAGAACACTGACAGACAACACAAACAGAATAAACTCCGCAATAACCAACAAACCTGAAACTAAGCACAGACAACATCCATCATATATACAGCTAGATACACATCCTGGACACAAACTGACACAATCAGAACACTGACAGATAGCATATATACAATAAACTCAGAAATAACCAACAAACCTGAAACTAAGCACAGACAACATCCAACATATACAAAGCAAGATACACATCCTGGATACAAACTGACACAATCAGAACACTGACAGACAACACAAACACAATAAACTCAGAAATAACCCACAAACCTGAAACTAAGCACAGACAACATCTAACATATACAAAACTAGATACACATCCTGGATACAAACTGACACAATCAGAACATGGACAGACAACACAAACACAAAAAACTCAGAAATAACCCACAAACCTGAAACTAAGCACAGACAACAGCCACCATATACAAAACTAGATACACATCCCGGACACAAACTGACACAATCAGAACATGGACAGACAGCATATATACAATAAACTCAGAAATAACCAACAAACCTAAAACTAAGCACAGACAACATTCATCATAAATACAGCTAAAAAAACATCTCGGATACAAACGGACTCAATCAGAACACTGACAGACAACGTCAATACAATACACTTGGAAATAGCTCACAAGCCTGAAACTAAGCACAGACGGCATCCATCATATATAAAACTAGATACACATCATGGATACAAACAGAACAGACAACAAATTGTCAGTATATAACAAAGGCAATACCTGAACATAAAGTGAGTGGGACTGTCTCAGAAATGACCAACTGTGAAAACAGGCAGATAGAGTGTCTGGTTGCAAATTCAGAAAGGCAGAATATATAGATAGAAAAGATGTAAATTAATGCAGATATTGCCTGGTTGAATGGACAACAGGATACTGCAGCAATATGATTGAAAGGCAATATACTTGATATTGGCACAGACGAGAGAGGAATCAACAGTCTTCTTGAGTGTTGGCCAAGACAGTCAAAAAAGCTTGACGCTAGCTCAGACAGGCAGGCAATCTCAATACAGAGAAAGACCATCAGACAGGAATTATACATAAACACGACAAACACATACAAAAGTCCGACAGTCTGGACACTGACAGAGACAGCAAGACAGAGAGCACAGGGATTTACACACAGACAGTGTGACAGCCTAGATTTAGGTAGAGACAGACATCGGTTTACAGGCAGAGACAGACAGTCTGGTTATGGGCAGAGATAGACAATGACTAGATCTAGGCAGACAGGTAAACATAGAATTTGGGATTAAAGAAGAGACAGTAAGAGACACTGTCATCATAGATCAGAGGGAAGGTATAACTTCGCTGTCTGGCTGCATAAACTGACAGTCAGTAACTCTGCTGTTAACCCCTTCGTGCATAAATCATTCATAATAGAACAATTAAAAAAAACTGACGCAATGATGGAGTTACTTTAGTTATATATGTTCAAAAGTATTGCTTTGTTCACCTCTGTGGTTTTCAAAAACTTTAACTTTTTTAACTCATTTATTGTTTTTGTTTTTGTTTTGTTTTGTTGTTTGAAGTTTAATTGAAACTGAGTGATGATGATCACGTACGCCAGTGTTTTAAAGATGGTTTTTGCTAAGGCTGCATTAAAAAGATGCTAAATGTGTTGTCCCCTTGTGACCAATCCAGTGTCCACGCTTTTTTTTTAAATTTTATTTTTACTATCAAGTCAGTGTAAATCTCCAACTTTCAGAAGTCGCTGCCTGCATAATTTAAACCACATCTGGTTTCAAGATACAGACACTGTAAACAGTTAAGACTAAAGAGCAACATTTATAAAAACTAAAAGAGACGGGGAGATTATTCTAACTGGGTTAGTTTGACATAAATGGTCCTTGGACCTTGATTTAATAAACTTTCCATATGATTCAACACTCTAAGTAAAACACTTTAAAATGATTTATCAACAAAAATATCCCATAGACTTTAATAGATATCTTCTGGAGATAAGTAATTTGAAAAAGTTTTCTAACATTTGGAAAGCTTATTAAATCGAGGCCTTGGTAGTATATGTGTTATGCAAATAACCGTTTAGTGGATCAACACTTGGGTTTTGAGACCCCCGTCTGTACAGTCAGCAGCCTGGGTGACTACCATGGGCCCTCCTGCTCCCAGGTGGACGTTTGGACCAAACTCAAGACATGTGTCACTCAAATCGGGCTTTATTTGCGCCGTTAAAAGGTTACAAAATCTGTTGGTGCTGTATAAGCGATCACTAATAATAAGTAATATCTATAAGAGAATTGTCAATTTAATCCAGGATAATAACAGATCTAGGAATCGATTAGATGTTCATGTTTTGTTCCCCAATAATTTACATGACTCATCTTCAAAAATAAACGAAGATTTGGCAATTAAAAAGAATAAATAAATAAATACATTTAAAAAAATTATATATATACATTCAGTCTGTGTCTAAATCTCAAGTGGTACGTGTTACTGTTTTCTGTAAAAACAGTCTGCTTATTGTATGCTCAGCGAGACAATTAAATCAAGTAACAAGTGTAAAGGAGTCAATAGATTATGCATGTATTCATTAAATTTGGAGCTGAGAAGGTTAGACAATTGATTTGTAAATTTGAGGCCAAAGTGCCCGAACCGGAAAAACTACACAAGACAGCTTTGTTGTTTAAGATTTTGATTGAATTGTATTTTTACAGTTTACAGTTTAGTAAATAAACCTGTGTGCTGTTAAATGTTTGAAAAATCTCTTACAATTTAAAGGTTCTTAGAATGTTCTGTGTCAAAGTTGTGTATTGTCCTATACCTTCAAATAACCATTAAGATGTTATTTCTTACGGACACTACTACCCTGACCAAAAACGTCTCTAATATAAGTCACAGTTATCTAATAGTAACAGCAGTGTTTAAATTCTGTACCTTTTTGACACGTTGATTAATCTCTGCAAACATGGACCGACCAAAAGACCCTCTTTCATCTTTTTTTTCAATTATTTTTTTCTTTTCTTACATCCGTTCCTCTCTCATAACATCTAAAATATATATCTTACCCTCCCTCCCCTTCATCCACCCTTGTTCCCCTTCACTAACGTCAATAGCACTCTTTTGATGTTCTTACTTCCCCTCCTCTTTTACATAGTTTTCAAACATATTCTATTTTATTTTTCTTATATTTTTTTACACCTTTCTTCCCGCTTCTCATCATATTTTCATTCTCTGCTCTCCCTTCTTTTTGCCTCTGGTTGTTTTTATTTCACCTCTAACAAATATTAGTTTTTTTACTTCATCCATCAATTCGTATTTGTTTCCCTGCTGGCTGTTTTACCTGCTTATTATAAATAAACTGTATAAAGCATTTTGGACCTTCATAAGATGTCATTGTTCTCATACCTGTCTCCTGGGCCGGAGGTTCTCTGTAATGTCCATACGATCGGTATGCAGCTCCGTATGGATAATCATCCTTGGGCAAGAAGCCTTCAGCCCCTACTAGCCCGCTGAGATTAAATTGGGGATGGTGGTGGTAGCCATAAGGATTAAGCGACTGGGAATAGCTTTGGCTCTGGAAGTAGTCATGTTGGGCGGCAGTCATTTGACCACTATAGTAGCCCATATCGGTTGCTGATGACTCTGGTAGGGTCGGTGAGTCCTTGGTTATAGCATGGCAACTTAAGGAGGTTGACAGGTCAGTCAAAATAGCCATTTTCTTTTCATAAGTCCCACTCATGTTCGGTAGAGCAGAGGAGAACTCCCAAGAAAATACTCAGATGCACATCCCTGCTGAGCCCCTTTCCACTTATCCCAGTACAATGAAGCCAAACCAGAGCTCCACAGACCAGTTCTACACCATAATTATAGGGTAGAGTAGGGAGGATCTAACATTCCTATTGGCTCCAGAAGGAAAGCCTTGGAGGCAAAACAGATTTCTTCACCAGCTTTGTACTTATGGCTCAGCTTCTTGTCAGTACAAAAAAAAAAAACACACACACACAAACACTCAGCATAGATATATACACACAAACACAGATGCACACAGTAACAAACATCATAAAATAAGTTTTGTAGTATAGATAGAAGCATAATATAATATATTTAGATTACAAAAGCTCTCTCTTTATAATACACATATATATACACATACAAACATGTATACAAATACAAACACATAAATATACAGTAAATATATATTGATAGATAGTTACATAGATAGATAGATTGATAGATAGATAGATAGATAGATAGATAGATAGATAGATAGATAGATAGATAGATATCAAACCCACATGTGGATACTCATACATATACACTGAGAACCTTTGAGAAATTAGAAAATGTAAACCATTTAATAACCTAATATAATAATTATATGTAACAATTCATAAGAAACTCTCTCGTCACAGTACAGAAAACGTGTCAGAATTTAAAGATATTCGTTATTATTGCTTAATGTCTATTTTAGAAAGTTCTATATGTCAGATTAGTGAGAGACCTTTAAAGATTTGTTAAATCAGGTTAGGAAGGAGTGATTAACAGGTTGTGTAAAACTGTTTCCCCGGCTGAGAGAGGTAGGCAGGTAAGTGTTTGTGAACATGTATGTGTTTGTATACATGTATGAGTGTGTATTTATGTGTGTGAAAGAATCCGTTGGTGCTTTATAAATAATAATAATGAGAGAGAGGGGAAGACAGACAACAGACCCAGATTGTAAAGCGCTGCGGAATTTGTTGGCGCTATATAAATAATATAATAATAATAATAAAGAGGGGCAGTTAAATGGACATTTTTAATTCTTATTGTTTTCCAGATTTAAAAGGTGAGTTCTGACGGGCAGTTTCATAGACCCTTCTGCTACTAGAAGATGCTTCAGTGGTTATGGTCCTTAGATTGCCCCTTTAAGTTTTTTTGTAGGGAGACACACAGCAGGCAAATAAATAGGTTTGGTCTCATAATTCAGTATATCAGATTGTCTTTGTCATGTCTGTGGGTGATAGGAGTTTAAATCCAAGTACAACAAACGCTCGAGGCTACAGGTCGCCTAACCCAGGTAGATTGATACACCTATATATAGTAAAACGCATTCAATTCTCATTCCAATAAAATAAAGGCTCTGCCTATAAAATGCACACTTCCAACAAATACTAGGAGACAGCGCCCCCTGTCAGATATAGGTTGTACAACAAGGTTTCTTTTCTCTCAAAATTCTCGATGTTTATATACGGTAGCTTGTACATATAAATAAACTCTTTCTCATGTCTTCCTATTTAAGAAAAATAAATAAATAGGGTTGCATATGGCATATAGAGTGTCTTGGGAAATGGCTTTCCACTACAATAGAAAGGCCTTTCTGTGTTTTTTTTTTTCTACTTTCTAAGTCCCCAGCTGCCTGTTGCTAAGGACAAGAAAGCAACGAGGAGCTTTCAATTCTCCCAACAGGGATCTCAGACAAATCAATACATGTCAGGCACTCGCACGCTTTTACAGAAACTGTACAAACACGGCGCAGTATAACACTCAGCCAATACCGCAGCTCAGCTTAACTCCTTCACAAAATGGCTGCCCCATCAAACACTTGTGGGGTTATTTACGTGATTGGGGGGGGAAGTGTGCATTTTACTTTAGCCCGTAATAGACAAACTAAAAAAAAACAAAAACAAAAAAACTAATATTAAAATATTTTCTAGCTTGGCTACTTTGGCCTAGTAGTTGCAATTCCACTACAATTTCCTCTTTACCGAATACCTCATACCCTCAACACCTCTGTTCCTGTGTGTCCAACTCGCCTTGTCTATTTATCCACCTAATGCACAGCACTGCCGGAATCTCCTCAAATCTAATGCGCAATCGAATCTACTGTGCGCCTCAATTTTTGAAACCTGGAAGCTGAAAATGTATTTTGCTGGTGAATGTAACGGGCAATTATACAAGAAGATACTACTATACAATAAAAATGTTTCATTTTGTGCTACAATGAAAATGTTTAGTGCAATATACTATAGTAACATTGATGGTATTTAGATTTAATTGTTACATTTTAAACCTATTCTTTCTTAAACCCTCTCTCAGGAACAAATTTTGCCTGTGTGAATTCGTCAGAATGAAATTCGTCTGTATGAATTCACCTGTTTGAATTTGTGTATTTGAATTTGTGTGTTTGGCTTCGTCTGTTTGAATTCACCAGTTTTAAAATTTTCACATTTTGCCCTAAATGTAATGTGCCATCAAGTCTAATGCACATAAACATTTTGGAAATGTTATTTTCCAAAAAAAGTGTGCATTAGATTCGAGTAAATACGGTCATTAATTTTAATAATACCCAAGTCTGTCTAAAAATAAAAAGTGAAATATATATTTTCCTTATATCTAAAATGTCCTTCTAACTCAAAGCTCAAAGCCTTCTAACTCTAAACCCCCTAATTCTAATCTTAACAAAAAAGGCCCCAACCCAATCGCTAGCAATGTCAGTTAAAATGGCGTTCTAAACACATCTACACGTCAGCGTCAGATTTTTGTTTGTTTGTTTAGTTTTTTGTTTTTTTTTAAACAGTCAAATATACTTTAAACACAAACAGGGCTATTTGCTAAAGTGAGAATTCAAAGTAAATTCAATATGAATTTAAAATTTAAAGGAACACTATATTACTGTATGCACCCAGATCACTTTAGCTCATTGACATGGTCTGGGAGCAGCGCCCCTGTCCCCCTTAGTCCTGCAATTTAAATCATTGTGGTTTTGAGAAACTGCAATAATTACATTGCAGGACTAGGACTGCCTCTAGTGGTTGTCAATCAGACAACCACTAGAGGCACTTCCTGGTGGTTTAGTGACTTTTGGTCGCCTAGCTAACGCTCATCCAGCGTCTACCTGTCTGCATGAGCAATATACATATTATCCTCTCTCTGTCAGCTATCTACAAAATGCACTTCTTACATATAACAAATGAAACTATTTAAACATTGCTGCGGTTTAACTACACTTTTAGATGTTTTCACCAGAATTGCACTTTATACACAGCCATGTCTTGTTTCTATGCATTTCAAAAGTCATATTACTGGGTAAAAAATTGTAAACTTTTTCAAAAACATTAAAATGTCTGTTTTCCACATAGAAAGACCATTTTAAGTAAGAGTTCTACATTTGGGAGAATTAACAGGATCGATCTTTTAAATTTATTTTTTAATTTAAAGCCCTTACTATATTGTTTGCTACTGGTTTAATCAAACATACACTTTGTTATATATATTGGGGGAACCTAGGGATATATTCGGTTTTAAAGAAATTGCAATATTATTGTTGCTGGGTTAAACACAACTCTTGTGGCTATGTTAGTCACGGTCACTACCGGCGCTTCCCCTGTGAGAAGTCAGGTTTGGTTCTCAATCCAATGCTACTCCTAGAAAGCATTTGATTGGTGCAAAGCTACGATTTAATGTGCATGCGCACTAGCCTGCCAATGCTTCTCTATTGGGAAGCAACTGAATTGGCTAAGATTATCAATCTTGATGAACTCAGTCAGGGAGATGGAGCAGATACAGCAAGGGCACGTCAAGGGAAAAAAGGTAAGCAAAACTCACATTTTTTTTATCATTCAATGTTTTATTGAAGCCTTTTAAATGCAGGGGGGAGGGGGTACAGAAAAAAGAGAAAGGTAAGGGTAGGTATGGTGGTATGCATTGTTACATTACAGTACAAGTCTCGAGGTACATTGTGTCATAAACACAGTCTTATTGGTTACACTTCTATGTGGTAGCAATAACAGTAACCCTTGGGGGGGTCTCACATGGGTACTCAACATGGCTGAATCACAGATTAGTAAGGGAGACATTTAGTGGCATATAGGTGAACCGTTCACACTTTGTATATTAGTTATACCTATGCCCCATTATCCAAATGTAACAACCGGTCGGAGGCAGACAGAAACCTTGGGGGAACTATTCCATCTTTGTGCCATAAAGCAATGTAACATTGAGGAACATTTTCAAACCCTTACCAGATCTCCGTGTCTCTCCAACTTCCCCTCTGAGTATGCATGTTCAATTTCTCAGAGTTATGTCCTTGGTGCAGTGGACCAGAGGGCTAAAGCTCGGGTATTCACAATTTGGAAAGTTCAGTTTGGGGGCTGTACATTGTTTAGATGTACCTGGTACCCTTGCGTGGGTCAGGTCCATTGAGAGAGAATGACTGCTACACGGCCTGATGTGGTTCACAAGGTGTCTGTCGAGACTAGTGGGTGGTAGTCTAGGTTTGACCAAATAGCAGTAGGTTCCCCTCAGGGTGGATCAAGATCCACCTCGAGAGTTTGTGTGGTAGAACCATTCGAAAGGTCTGCTTAGGCATGACCGAGTATGGCCCGGTGGGAGTGGGGGGAGTTCTGTGTAACACAATAGTCTACCCATGTTGCCCAAGAGTTTCACTTTGCGCAGTGTTCTTGCAGTGGACATGCGTTCGTAGATATAGTATTGGTGAATTTTGGATAGCAGTTGGTGTTTGGAAAGGCATTGCATTTGCTTCCACTGGCTCATGATTAGGTTTCTCTCTGCCAATGCAAAGATCGCCATTATACGTTTTGTGGACATCGGTGTTGGTCGAGGGTATCTAAGGAATAACCCAGTGTGTATGTCAAGAAGTGGTTCAGTTATGTTAATGGCCTGCATTCTGCGCCTCGTCCCACAAAAATGGCCTCGAGCTGTGCGGCTAGCAGTGCCCCTGCTCTATTTCATTGTGTGAAAAAGTTGTACTTACGGCGCCTAAGTATGTATTTCGTTTTCTCTAGGTCTTGGAGCTTGGTTTTTAATGTGAGAAGTTTATTTTGAAGGA